GGGGGCAGGGTGGGGGGGGGGCCCCCCCCCCCCCCCAGTGCACGAATTTCATGCACCGGGCCTCTAGTTTCTTATAATAGCAAAACACTGGAAACAACCTAAATACCCATTCAAAGGGGATTAGTATATTATAGAAAAGTCCACAAAATGGAATACCATTCCACAAAGCTCATATAACTTTGATGCAAACCTCTCAATAACATACAACAAAGAAAAAATTAAGTCTGATCTCACTCATGCAGCCAGAAGCAAAAATCCTAAACAAAATCATAGCAAGCCAAATCAAGAAAGTATAAAAAAGAATGCATCATGACCAAATTGGGTTTACTGAATGCAGTGTTAGTTCAACATTTGAATACCAGTCAACTAACTACAATTTACCACATTCTCTAGGGAGAAAAACTGTGTGATCATTTCAGTAGCTGTAGAAAAGGCATTAGGTAAAATTAATCATCTATTTATGGTAACAACACTATAGAAGGAAGCTTGTGCAATCTGATAGACAGTATATACCAGAAACCCAGTCCACAATATATCCAATGGTGAAATATTAAGAGCACTCCTTTTAGAATCAGGGACATTACAGCATATCACTACCATTACAACCAACATTAGTAAGGTTAATAGACATGAAAAATACATACAAAGCTAAGTGCTGAAATGTCAGAAACAAAACAATTGTCATTATTTATAGATGATAACTATCTAAAACAGAAAAGCCCAGAGAATCTAAAAATTTTTAGAATAAACTTTGACAAGGGTGCTGGATATGAGATGAATATACAAGACAACTGTACTGTTTATCCCAGCATAAAAGAATTAGAAAATGTAATTTTAAACAAATTATCAGAGGAACAAAAATGATAATACCCCAGAAATAAATCTAACAAAAACTTGTATTAAAACCTTCAGGAAGGCCCTAGCCAGTTTGGCTCAGTGGATAGAGAGTCGGCCTGCAGACTGAAGGGTCCTGGGTTCGATTCTGGTCAAGGGCACATGCCCAAGTTGCAGGTTCGATCCCCAGTAGGGGGCGTGCAGGAGGCAGCCGATCAATAATTCTCTCTCATCATTGATGTTTCTATCTGTCTCTCCCTTCCTCTCTGAAATCAATAAAAATATACATATATTAAAAAAAAACTTTCAGGAAGAACACTGTCAGGCTTTATTGAAAGATATACATGAAGACCTAA